CCAGCTGCGTCCTAACTATCCAGTTGATACCGTGCTTCCCTCCAGATGTTGACATTTTCATAATCCAGTCGATGACCAGGAGAAAGAGAAAGGGTGAGAGTAAGCAACCTTGCCTGACACCGGTCTTCACCTCGAAGGATTCAGTTAGCTGTCCTTCGTGTAAGATTTTGCAGTTGAATCCATCATACGAATTTCGTATGATGTTAACTAATTTCTCAGGCACACCGTAGTGTCGAAGAAGCCTCCACAGTGTTTTCCTATACACGCTATCAAATGCTTTCTCGTAGTCGATGAAGTTGATGTAGAATGGTGAGTTCCATTCAATTGATTGTTCCACAATGATCCGTTATGTAGCAATTTGGTCAGTACATGATCGATCCTTACGAAATCCAGCTTGTTGGTCTCGAAGTTGGGCGTCTACGAAGACCTTCATTCTGTTTAAAAATACTCTGTTGAAGACTGCCTGGTATTGAAAGAAGAGTGATGCCTGTGTAGTTCTCACACTTGCTGAGATCGCCTTTCTCTAGTATTTTGATGAGGTATCCTTCTCTCCAATCTGATGATACTTGTTCCTCATCCAAAATATTGTTGGAGAGAATGTGAAATATTTTCTCAGTTGCTTCCGCATCTGCTTTCATTGCCTCTGCTGGAATGTTGTCTGGTCTTGCTGATTTGCCGCTCTTGATTTGTCTGATGGCCATACTGATCTCCTCCATTGTAGGTGTGCCACTATTAATTGGGAGGTCCGTGGATGCTGCTTCGATGTTGGGTGGGTTCAGTGGAGCTGGTCGATTCAAGAGTTCCTTAAAGTGCTCTACCCACCTATTTCTCTGTTCTTCAGTGTTGCTGATTACTTTGCCTTCCTTGCTTTTCACTGGTCGTTCTGGTTTACGATGGTTTCCAGCGAGCTTCTTTGTCGTGTCGTATAATTGTCTCATGTTTCCTTCTCTTGCAGCCTTTTACGCCGTCATTGCTAGATCCTCCACATATTTTCGTGTGTCAGCTCTGATGCTCTTCTTCACTTCCCTGTTTGCTTCTGTGTATTCAGCTTGTGCCCTAACTTTCTCTGCTCTTGTTCGGCTGACATTGATTGCTGCCTTCTTGTTCCTCCTTTCTTCAGTTTTTGCAAGAGTACGAACAGAGATTCATTCCTAGTGATGGTACTTCCTGTGGCCCGAGAACCTCCTGACATGTACGTGTGATTGCCTCCTTGATCCCTTTCCAACTGTTCTCAATGGTCGTTCCCTCTCCATTGAACAGATCGTGCAAGGCCTGGAACCTACTGCTCAGGGCTATCTTAAATTCGGTGAACTTTTCAGTATCCCGAAGAAAGGCCCTGTTTAACTTTTTTGATGTTGTTTGCCCCGTTGTCCAGTCCTTCTTCGCTTTCAGTTTCATTTTGGTGACTAGCAAGTGATGATCTGAGGCTATATCAGCTCCTCTCTTGGTTCTCACATCCTCTATGGTCCTTCTGAAATTTTTATTGATGCAGATATGGTCGATTTCGTTCTGAGTAGATGTGATCCAGTGAAATCCATGTGGCTTTGTGTATGCGTTTGTGCGGGAATATTGTGCCACCGATGACCAGTTTTGTTGAAGGCACATAGGTTTGCAAATCTCTCACCGTTTTCGTTCCTTTCTTCTAGTCCATGTCGTCCCATGATGTCTTCATATCCAATATTGTCCTATGCCAACCTTGGCATTCAGGTCTCCTATTAGAATGTTCAAATCCTTTGATGAGCATCTGTTTATAACTGACTGAAGCCTCCCTTAGAATCGACCTTTTACGTCTTCACTGTAGTCATTGGTAGGTGAATAACATTGGATGACGTTCATCGTAATGCCCTCTTCTTTTCGTTTTCAAGGATGCTTTGATGATCCTAGGTCCATGAGATTCCCACCTTACTAGTGGTTTATGTGCTTGCTTGAACAGCATCAGTGCAACTCCTTGTGTGTATTAGGCGTCTTCGTATTTATGGCCGGAATGAAACATCACCTCTCTTGAAGCTAGTTTTTTGTCCATCCTGCATCCAATGCGTTTCGCTGATTCCAAGTACCATAAGGTTGTATCTGTCCATTTCCTCAGCAACTTGGATGGTCCTTTCGGTCTTCTATATTCTACGAACATTCCATATACCTATAACAATGGTTTCTCTGGTTGTCAGAAGGTTCATCAGTCTAGTGACTTCCGAAGAAACTCGACTTTCATCATCACTCTTCTAAATAAAGACCCTCCAACCACCAGGGCAGAGTTTAAATTATTTTTTATGCTTGGTGATTTTTTAGCAAGTTATTATTTGACAGATCATTCTGCTAACCCCACTCTTTTATACGAGCTTTGGACTGGCAGTAACCCTAGAAGAGCTACCAGCGGAGTTAACCCCAATGACGGACAAAAAATTTCTTATAGGTAGTAGGATATAAATCTTACGAATGTAAAAAATCTATGCGATTCAAAAGATTAGAACAGCGAAATAGCTCTTCTCGAAAACATAATGTTTGTACACGATTCAAAAAAAGTGTACAGTGTAATCTCCAATGACTTCTCTTCATGGTCCCGAAAAAACATCTTCAGCTGTTTTGAAGACGCCTGAATCAGCTTTCTATAGCTCCGTATCATTTATTGCCAGACAGAAACAGTTTTCTCTATTCATTTATTTGGGGAAATGAATTTGTTGATCAAAAGGACAAATGGCTTTAAAATATTGGAAAGCTAGCAAAATCTAGATAGGTGCTTGAAAAAATCATCCGTGAACTACACATCCATACCAGTTGTAGCTAATTTTAGCATTACTTATTTAAATTTCAAAGACATTAACACAACTAAGCAGTGGTCGGGAACATTTTTGTTATATTGGTCAAAAATATGTTATAACTAGTAATAAGCTTTCGTAGATCATACTAACTATCCACTCTACGATTAGCAATTTCACACTGGCAATAGAAACTACTCTACCATCTCCTCAAGTCTTCAGCCATCGTTTTAAATTCTGAAGAGCACATCTTATTGTGGAAATCATCCACTTAGTAGCATAACCTTTTTTTATCAACTTCAAGCTGGATTTCGTTATTGCATTGGTAGCGACAGTGGAAATATATTGTTTCTTTTTTCCTTTACTACTTGCTTTTAACTTACACATGAACAACCATTCATTGTGATTAAGTCGATTAAAATTGATCTATCTCTATTACTCAAATCAGACACATTGGCTCTTGTAAATACAGAAAATAGTTAGAAGTATCATTTTTTCATTGTTGTGGATGTTTCTAGAGTAGAGCGTCTAAGAATAACCTTCGGAAGGCAACGATTAAGCAAATGCACTCTCAATAAAAGTTAGAAATTTTAATTGATAAGATTGTAAGTGAAAAATAAAAAAAAATTAAAGTAGTAGGTTGACAATAATAAGGGCGACTATCATTAGGGCGCATATTAATATAGATGATCATCAAAAGTGGGAATAACATTTTTAACAGTGTAAAATAGTGAAGTGAAGAGTAGAGTCAGAGCTGACAAACGTAAATGTGTGGACGAGCTAGCAACGATAATTGAAGAAGCTACAAGAGAAGGAGAAATGAGACAAGAAAGAGGCTTGTTGGAAAATACTGTAGATCAGAACTACCAGTGAAAAGCAAGAACGGCAAAGTAATTACCGATATTGAAGAACAGCGAAATAGGTGGATAGATTATTTAAAGAACTATCAAATACACCAGTGCTGCTGAACCCACCCAATATCGAAGTATTAACTACAGACCTCCCGATTGATGTAGACCCACAGATAATTGGAGAAATCAGCAAGGTCATTTAAAAAATAAAGAATGACGAAGTCGCAGGATTTATTAGTTGTATCAAACTAGCTGAAGTCAAACACAGTAGTAACTGCAAACATACTTCATGCTCTCTTCAGCTAGATTTAGGATGAAGAACTAGTACCAACAAATTGTAAAGAAGGTTACCTCACCTATGAAGTGTGAGGACTACAGAGGTATCACTCTAATATCAGTACAAGGAAAAGTCCTCAGCGGAGTTTTGTTTAACACGATGGAGGATTCAGTAGATGACTAACTTTCAGATCAACAGGTCGGATTCTACAAAGATCGAAAAAGTACTTGAAAGCTAGGTGCACCTGAGTAGATAGTCAACATCACACTGTATTGTTACTAAGGGCTACACTTCACAATCATGCATGAAGGTTAGATTACAGACTCATTACCAGGCTGCTTACTCTCACACTTTCTTCTTCTGGTGGTTGAGTAAATTATCAAAACCCCCATGTATGAAGGGAAGCGAAGGACTCATTGGATAGCTAGACGATTTGAACTCTGCAGATAATCTAGCACTTTTATCTTACAACAACAAATGCAATTAAAAACGGTTAATGTAGCTGAAGCCTTTTCAGAATTAGGTCTCAACATGTATAAGGGGAAAAGCGAGATTCGTGAATACAACATAACATGCACCAACCAAAGCACGCTTGATGAGGAAAATTTGGATGATGTGGAAATTTTTACGTACCTGGGAATCATCACTGATAAACAGGGGGGATCCGATGCAGATTTGAAGATAATGATTGGCAAATTAGGGGCAGTATTCTTACAATCGAAGAAAATCTGGGACTTAGAGCAACTATCAACCAACCTTAAAGTAAGATTTTTCAATACAGATATCAAAACGGCTCTATTGTATGGATCGGAGAACTACTAAAGCCATCATCATATAGATACAGGTGTTTAATCGACAGTTGTATACGCACGATACTGAGGATCAGTTGGCCAGGCGCCGTCAACAACAATCTGCTGTGGGAGAGAACAAAGCAGATTCCAGCTGAGGAAGTAGTTGGGAAAAAAGCGCTGGAGGTGGATAAGAAACACATTGAGGAAAGCACCCAACTACGTCATGGGGCAAGCCCAAAAGAAACGAGCCAGACCTAAGAACAAACTTTGCTGGAAATTGGAGGTAAACATGAAAGAATGAATGGGTGAATGAAAGCGGTGAATAATTTCAAACCGCTTTGATATAACACAAGAATTTATAAAGCTCACCTTGACATTCTGTTGGTAATGGCAGTAGTGTACCAGAATATCCACGATATTCTCCAACTGTATCTGAACCAGGTACTAATTCACAGGATACTAATTTTTCTGTAGTACGATCATTATATAAATATCCTGGATTACATCTGATAGAAATGACGTTTCCGTATGAATAAAATTGATTAACCTGATGTGAACCAAATACTTGTTCTGTGATACGATTACGTGCACTAACTAATTTAGCATATTTAGGAATATTGTTATTTAATTCCGTTTCATTACAACGTACAGCTACAAAAAATATAAATATTTAATGAAAGAATTTTGTTTAATCTTCTTTGCTAAGTGAGTTTATTAGTTTTAAGAAAAAAAACAGTGGCTGACAGTAAAATTCAGGATGAGTATTTCGTTCTTTATTAGATCTCGGTTTGTAACGACTTTCAAACACCAAAGCATCATCCACTGAGGCAGAGAGTACAGATAACAACTAGCTTATGAATTTGGTTTGTATATGTTTGCATTTTTTGTGTTTAATATTCATTACTGAAAGTGATCAGTCTATACTGAAATAAGTGCATTCTGAATAGTCTGAAATATGATGAAATGTTTGTTTCAGATCCGTGGATGCAAATAAGCAGACATACGTATTCATAACTGGATAAAACAAATGCTTACTGTTAGTTAGTTTAAGAAAATCTGTCTAAAGTTATTCTAAGATGACTACTCTGTGTAACATGGTAATTAATTTATAAACGTTAATTTCAGAAAGGTATTCTCTTCATTCTCGTGAAAAAGTAAGTATTTATTTATGTCAATCAGCAATCACTGTCATCTGAATAAGGACATGTTTTATAATAGGTTTTCCGAAGTATTCGCAAACTAGTATCACTTCTAGTTCAATTGTGGTTTCGTTTCTTTATTAAAGTAATCCGCTTTTTACAACTCCACTCAAATTATTCAGTAAATTCCACTGATTTTTAGTTATTTTATGAATAAGAGTCCGAACTGAATGCAGAAAAGATATTTTCTATAAAACAATTAAAAACAAAACTGAAATATTCATTAATCTAAACTTAAGAAACTGTAACTGAAACTTTTTTTAACAGAAGGAAGCATATGGATGCTAAAAAACTCTGGGCTATATAAACTGTTTATTTTAAAAGTGATATAACTACTCAGTACTTTCAAATTAGAATATTTTGGAGACACTACTCTACCTCATTTATTTTCGTCGATTAATTTTAAGTTAAATGTCTGATAGTATAAGATTTTAAAATAACCATTTGTATAATATCTGAAGATAAATTGGGATAAGAGACTTAACGATCATCAATAGGCCTAATATTCTCTTCTATTTAGTTCTACATTAGGTAGACTGAATGTTTTTTTTATCCATAGGAAGTGTTTATGAACATCTAGTCTTAATAACGAGTCCCAAAAATGAGTTTTTATTTATACAACCTAGTTGTTTACCAGATTGACAGATTGCCTCTTCATGAAGGGAGAATAGTTTTGTTAGAAGGCTGAATTCGAAACGTACTAACTAATCCAGTGAATTCTAAGGGAAACTAATTAATTCAAGTAATTGTTGAAAGTAACATGTAAAACAACCGTTTTTAGGATTTTTTGTCCGAGACCTTGTATATCAACACTTTAAATAGTTAAAACAAGAAGAAACTTCAGAAAACGATATCAAATTCCTTTAAAAGGTATATTCATTTTTTTGTAAGTAGTAAAGAATAAGTATCAAGAGTTGAGAGTATCAATTCAAAAAAGGAATCGAAACGCATGAAAATATCCACAGATTAACTAGTATGGATAAGTTAGCAATTACCCCTGTATACAAACATGAAAATTAACTAAACTTAAAGGTATCTTTCACATTTACCAGTGTAAGTGATTAACAAAGAACTAAACAATCTTAAAATCAATCAAAAACTGTTTGGAATCATTTAATTTTAATGTTATCATGTTTATTCAGATAAGTATGTGAAAGTAATTTATAGTCATTAGTTTTAATTTAAAAAGTATTTTCGGTAATGGTTTTTTGAAATGTCAGCACTATTCATCAGGCTAAGTTATCATAGAGTTTACACACCTGTCATTAGAATCAGTTTTAAAATTTTCTTACAGGTTGTCACAGGTTGAAAATTCAAGAAAAAAACATACACGTTTGAAAGACTGTTGTTATATTTCATTCAACCGATAGTTAATGGTTGAATAATAATGAAACTTTATGCCTACAAATTATTTTCCAAATTGTACAAGACGATAATAGTATGATAGTAATGTGAATGCGAACTAGCTGAAATATTAAACATAATAAATATGTATCATTTCTCAGTTAATAATATTGTACTATTTGATTTTTATCTGAGAATACCTATCACTAGAATTGAACTGCATAATACAACAGATTTCTACCGGTATTTATGACTTGTAATCATGGTCGAATTTTGTGGTTTATATCACGACCTTACAGTTAAAACTATGAATTATTGAACAGCAGTGAGTATCCATGATCTTAAGAAGGATTAAACCCAGAACTTTTATGTCTTGCTATGTGTTTAATCTTTAGACCACTAAACCGACGTCCAATGGTTTATATTTCCAACCTTATTTAATTTGCACTATTACGCAATAGATTCCAAATGAATATTATTAATGATCAAGAGGTATTCGACAATACTTAAATCAACAAAAGTTAGCTAAAACATGGATCAAAAATGACTATTGAATAAGGATTTTTATTGTAAAGATGAATTACTGACCAGAGATTTTCGGACAATTGATTAACTATTACACTTTAACTAATTTCACTTTGGTTTACATGAAATTAGAACAAAACTTTTAGTAGTTCTATAAAGATATAAAAAGGATAAACTTTACTTTAGTATAAAATCGTATTAATCTTAAAGGAAATATTATTTTATATTATAAAATATCAGAGGATTTAAATTGTTGAATATTATCCGGAGGAAGTATTACAGTAGGGTGTACTACTTTTTAGTACCAATTATGGAGACGTATCGCAAAGCTTGAAAAATTAATCATAAGTTAAAGATTAGCAATCATATCATTTTATTGATAAACTAGTTGGACTGCGACTGAATGAGTGTAGAAGTGAATTAAGTATAAGAATAGTTCACCAAGCACTGACAACTATCACAATAGACAGTCTTAAAATATGCATTAGTTTGAACAGCTAGTTTAAAAAAAAATCTTCAAGATACACAATCTGATAAATCACTGTACCGTTTAGCTAAATAGGATATTGAAAACAGATGACATAAACCTTCCTCATGCAGTGTCTTGAACTTAACTGTCATTCAACAGCAGAGTTTATCTCATCTATGAGGTACATTTAGCTTTAGTCAGTTACAACGTAGAATTTCGTACGTAAGTACATCAGTTCAGGTTGCCATACCACGTTAGCGCACAGACGCAATTGTCAATTCAAATCCCATAGTGGTAGCGATAGTAGAAGTATTAGCAGTAATGGAGAAGATTAAGGAGCAAAGATATGATTCGAGAAGTATAATTCAGTGAGATAAATTTAGTTTCATTAAATATTCAAATCGTAGGTTTACGATTTCATGTCAATGTTTGCAACCAGCCAACACTAGATACAGCTTTCTTTAACACCGAGTAATTTGTGTTACCGGAAAGATTATATATTAAGTCAGATAAAATTTGATTTTACTGAGCACTGTATGACCTAGAATGAATTGATTTCCAGTTACGGATCAAGGTATAGTTTATTGATAACATCTTCCACAGAATCTAAAGTTAAACAGATATATCTAATAATTGCTTAAACTTGAATTGGAATTCAATCGATATATACAACTATTATGTAGAGATGTTCACAAGAGACTGTGATCAATTTTCTATTGTATAAAATTAGAAGATCTGATTTATAACTAGATTTCAGTAGATAATGGTGACTTTATAAATTAGCTGCAGTTTTAAACTGTTCCCTTACAAGTTTGAGATAGTAGTGATTTAATTCTTCGTAGAATATAAACTCTATTCATAACTACTTTTTGTTTTCTTACTATTCAAAATTTATGCCTAATTAACAAGAAACAAAATAACAAATAGATGCATTGTATAAATATTTCCAAAACCTAAACATTTACCTACCTATACAAGCCTGATAATTTTCCGGGTCCCATAAACCCAGATTAAACGTTGTACTAGCATGAGCACAAACCATCGTGGCTAATGTACTATTAGGATTTTGAAAGCTCACATAACCTCGACTGCATTGTAATGTAATATTTTGTCCATAATCATAAACAAGACTATTTGAACCAATTGGAACTTGAGGCTTATTTTCTATATTATCCATTAGTTCTGGAAAAAGTGGACATTTCACATCTATGGGATAAGAGTTTTGTTATATTTAATTAGTACTGTGAATATTTAATCTGATTTTTTTTTAAAAATAAACAAAATAGTCATTGTCTTACTTTTTTAACTGATGTAGATTGGGTAAGGTGAGTAGTTCGGAGAAAGCGACTGACCCATTCAAAATGAAAAATAAGTTAGTTATTTACTTTATAATATAAAATAGAATGACCTCATATTTAATTGCTTGCCAATATGTGGATAAAACAAGATGTAATCATATCGCGGGGTGTAATTGTCAGGTTTTCTAGATACCTCATTGCATAAAAATGGTAAAACTCCAGACCGACAAGATGAACGGGAAGTAGATGAAGAAGAAGGAGAAAAGTAAACCAGAGAAACAAAGGAAAAAAAGCGAACAGATAATCAATAAGATTTGATTAGTGAAATATAAAGCTAGGGGCGGCCAGACCAAAACATGGCAGAAATCCATGAAATCACTGACAAGTGGACTGAGTCATGTTGGTAGATGTAGACTACCTGGTTGGGGTCCGCGAGACGAAAGTCACCAATCGTTAGAGACTTTGAACGACATGGCTCAAAATCGTTTGCAATGGCGCAAGTGCATCCATTCGTTGTGCTCTCTCAAATCCTAATCTTCTGGATTCGTCAGCACCTCTACCTTTGTCTTTCTAACCTTATCTCACTGAATTATACTTCTTGAATAATATCTTCAAACCCCTAGTCTTCTTCATTACCGTTAATACCTCTGCTATCTTTATCACTATGGGATTTGATTTGACATTTGTGTGTCTGT